AGAAGGCCCAAACATCTGCTGATCTCCTTGCGTGTCAAAGGAGACTTAACTTGCTTGGCACGCTCCTTGCTCAAAGGGACTTCCTCAATCCACTTCTGCACATATTGCTCCTGATCGATCGGCAAGCTGCCATCTGCCAACTGAACCAAGTGGCAACCTGCAAACTCAATGTCATCCCATCGGAGCTGTAGATCTCGGGTACGTAGCATATTGATACCCTGGAGCAAGAGCCAGAGAGCATGCGGGATGGCGATCTGATTGCCGAGTCCTTTCCAGGCCTTTTCAAAATCCGAGTGGGTCCAGAAACCTCCCCATGCACCGTGGAGTAGAGCAATCTCAGCAGGATGCCAGAAGCGTAACTCCGACTCTCTTTCCTGCAACCAATGAGCAAAATATCCACGAGTTTCCAGTAGTTGGCCCTGCAAATGATGTTGACTTCCATACTGGGCCATGAAAGTAGGCAGGCTATGATCACTAGGGCGGAACAGATGCGATTGCGCCGCCTGACCAGCAGTGCATCTCTTCTGTTGCTTGGAGCCTCTTTCCAGCGGGAATAATCGAGCCTGCCTCAGTGCATCTTCTGGTACTCGTAACTTGCTCAAGACCTCAGCAGGCCACTGAAGGATGCAATCATACTCACACAAAGTGGCGGATCGCTCAATGTTCCATGAAGAGATTGGAGGCCATTTGAGGTCTTCTTCATGGATCATATAGGCCACTCCCAGCCAGCGAGCCCGCTTAGGTGCTATCAGATCACCAAGTTCCAACACATGTGAAAACCGAAGGTGATAGCCAGCAAACCAGAGAGCCACCTGTTCAATCAGGATCACCTTGGGTCGCAGGATCTTACACAAGGCAATGCTGCACATCAACAACTGGCCATCACTGCAATGTAATCCTTGTTGCATGGCGGCCCCACTCCAGGGTGGACATGGAGAGGAAATTGTCACGATCTCTGGGGCCCAAAAAGCCGCAGCCTCATACCATGAAGGATCCATCACGTCCGCACAGACACACCACCCCGAAGGGAAGGATGCAAAGGTGAGTGGAGGGAGGACGTTCCCCTCTCACTTGCTGAAAGCAGAGGACAACGATGTGTCAGGCTGTAACTCCTGGCGGTGTCATAGTCAATCTCAATCGCTCCTGAAATGACCTCATGACCCAACTCAGAAAAAATCTGTCCAGCGTACGACCAACCTCCCCAGGCACCGCCAAACAGGTGCAAGGCAGTGATCGGCCCTTGGGTCCTCTTGTCGAGCGGCAAGATACACATATGTTGTCAATAGCTAAATCAGCAGTGGCATTGGCTGGAGGATATAGCAATGAGGCATCCCAAACCAAACACTTGCCGACAAACCCGTGCAAACACAGGCTGTGCAGTGAAGGTCGTTCTGGAGCCTGCCAAGAGAAGCGTAACTTCTGCTGCATGGGAACATCATGACTGATCCAAACTGAGTCCAAATGAACCTGTGCCAGACTCCGGCCAGCGGCCGTCAGGTGTGTAGCTTCATATGTAAACAAGTCACCGGCTTCCCGCAAACAAAAGTCACTCACCAGGACACTTGGCCGATCAGTCAGAGAGCACTGAACATCGGCCCAGAGTTCAAAGTCGCTGAGGATTTCCCGAGCCCCAGCTTCCAGTGCTCGGTCGTCCATGGCACCAGGAAAAAAAGGGTAGCAGGGTCCAATCTGCACCCACGTCCGTGGGGCCCCGCCACCACCAGGGCACTAGGCCGGGGGGTTTGGACCTAGATGGCTACTAGCGATGGCCTCCAACCTAGAAGCGATGTCCTCCACCCCAAA